TCAGAAACCCAAGAAGGGGTTGCAATGAGTCGAATCGACTCAACAGCAGTGAGTTTGGTTTTGGTTTTGCATTTTATTGACTATGCAAAAGCATTCAACTCTGTGGATCATAATAAATCAAAGATAACATTGAGAAGAATGGGAATTCCAAAACACTTTATTGTGGTTATGAGGAACCTTTATGTCGATCAGGAGGCTGTCGTTTGAACAGAACAAGGGGATATGGTTCAAAATTAGGAAGGGAGTGCATCAGGTGCATCAGGGTTGTATCCTTTCACCATACCTATTCAATCTATATGCTGAGGAAATAATCTGAGAAGCTGGTTATATGAAAAAGAGCATCAGGATTGGAGGAAGAGTCATTAACAACCTGCAGTATGCAGACAACATAACTTTAATTGCTGAAAATGAAGATGACTTGAAGCACTTACTGATGAAGGTTAAAGACTACAGTCTGCAGTATGGATTACACCTCAACATAAAGAAAATGAAAATCCTCACCACTGGACCAATAAGCAACATCACAATAAACAGGGTAAAGATTGAAGCTGTCAAAGATTTCATATTACTTGGATCCATAATCAACATCAATGGAAGCAGCAGTCTAGAAATCAGACAATGACTGGGCAGATCTACTCCAAAGGACCTCTTTGAGATACTGAAGAGCAGAGATGTCTCTTTGAAGACTACAGTGTGCCTACCCGAAGCCATGGTATTTTTGGTAGCCTCATATTCATGTAAAAGTGGGACAATGAATAAATCAGACCAAAGAAGAGTTGATGCTTTTGAGTTGTGTTGGTGAAGAATACTGAAAGTACCATAGACTGCCAGAAGAACTAAAAATCTCTCCTGGAAGAAGTGCAGCCGGAATGCTCCTTGGAAGCGAGAATGGCCAGACTTTGTTTTACCTACTTTGGTCATGTTGTCTGAAGGGACCATTCCTTGGAGAAGGATATCATGGTTGGTAAAGTAGAAGGTCAGTGAAAAAGGGGAAGGCCCTTAGTGAGATGGATTGACACAGTGGCAGCAATATTGGGCTCAAGTATAGCAGGGATTGTGAGGCTGGTGCAGGACCAGGCAATGTTTTGTTCCATAGTACATAGGGTCGCTATGAGTCAGAACTGGCTGGACAGTACCTAACAACAACAACAGCAAACTCTTGATTTTTCTCCTACTCTATGGCTATGTCATTTTACTTTAGTTTGTAGGTTTCTCCTTTTCCATGTGACCATTAGATTTCAGAGTTCCTCTAGGCTTGCACTTTTTTCTTCTCACTACTTTCTCCCTAAATCATCTCTTTCAATTCCATAGATTCCATTTCCACCTATACATTGATCACATTCATATGTCTGTCTCCAGATAAGCCTCTTTTCCATTCTATGTGTCAGCTATCTCTACTATCTATTCAGATGTCTCAACAGTACTTCAGTGGGACATGATTTACCCATGATCTGTCCTGCCAAGCATAGCTCTCATGAATGTTTTCTGGCTTCTTAAAAAGTGACATCACAACTAGCCATTTCAACCAAAAACCAGATTATCATTCTTATAACATTTTGCCTTCTTTATGATCCATATAAAATTCACCAAAAAAAAAAAAAAAGGTGTCTATTTTACCTCTAGAATCTTGTCATCTCTTTTCAAACCCCTACCATAATCTTAGGGAGCTTTGGTGGCATAATGGATAAGACATTTGGCTGCTAACCCAAAGGCCAGCAGTTCAAAACCCCCCAGCTGCTCCATGGAAGGAAAATGGGGCGATCTATTTCCATAAAGATTTACAGCTTCGGAAACCCAATGGGGCTCACTATGAGTCAAAATCGACTAGATGGCAGTGAGTTTGATTTTCTTGGACTATAACCTTAATCTTAGATACTACAGTAGTCTTCAAGTGGTATTTCTGCATAGACTGTGACACCCATCCTCAATAACTCTCTATTTATTTGCCATAGTGAAACCAAAATGAGTTTGTGGTTTTCAAAATCTGGTATGATTTTGTTTCTCCTCTTCAGCTACTGAAAATGCTTTATTACCTTCCCAGTGCTGTTAAGAGCGGTTAGAAGACCTGAGCACACACCTGTCTGCCTCTGCATCTTCCTCTTCTCTTACACCCTTCTCACTCTTGATCTCTGCTTTCCCTGAAAACTGCTCTCAGTCAGTTTTTAAATGGTGTCTCTCCAGGCCTTCCACAGGGCGATTTCCTTTGCCCCTCCCTCTTTGCCTAACCAATGCCTATTCATCATTTACACCTGTGTGCCATTGTCATTTTCTCAAGGAAGGCTTCCCTGACACCCACATCCTGCTGGCAAGGCCATTGTTTTTGCTGTATCTCTTCTATAAATGACACATTTTCTTTCCTTTAGAGCACTTGTTTCTATTTGTATTTTTATGATAATCAGACATTATTAATTAGTATTTCCTCCCCTATTGGATTGTAAGCACCATGAGACAGAACTGTGCCTATTTTTGCTTACCACTGAGCCAAGGATAGTGGTTGGAAGATGCAAAGTGTGTAGTAAATGTTTGTTGAATAAATGAGTAGAGGAAAGAATGAGCATTGCCAAAGAGCTATTGGGTATAAGCACCTTCACTATTTTCTCCAGCTGTTTGAGGTTTAGAGTCACAGAAATATCTATTAATCTTTCAAAAACAGGTTTTTGAGTGTGCATCCTTAAGATTCCCATTATAGTGGAAATTATTTTTTTAATTTCCTTAAACCTTAAGCCTCCAAATTTTCTGTAGTTACGCAACTCCAAATTCCTGTAATACCAGATCAATGCTGCTTTTGTTCTTTAAGATACTTAAAGCTTAGTGTGAGCAATATGAAAATGGCCCCTTTACAGTGGTGAGGATCTGATGTCAAAGCCTTCTCTCCATGTCCAGCCTCCTCTTTCAAGTCCTGGAAAATCCTGTCTGGATGAGAAGTCACACAAGGACTTGGATGCTGTGTTTATTTTTCACGATCAGGTCCCAAAATACAATTGCTATTTAGCTATGGGTCAGTCTTGGCTTCCTCTGGTAGGTGTGCTAAATTAGTAACCAGCACGAAAGACAAATCAACATGAGGCCACCAGTTTTCTGAAGGCTGTTGCTCTTTGTTTCCATGTGGTGTCCCCTAAACATTTTCTCTTGATTCATTCATAAACAATGGAGATGAAGAAACAATTGCCTTCCTTTCTAGGTTAGCTAAGCAATATGTCTTAATGACTGTCAACCTTTAATGACTACCATGGAGAGCTTCAACACTCACCACTCACCCTAATAGTAATCATGTTGTAAATTAGTAATACTTGTCAGGCAGACAGCCATGGGTTTGGGGTTCTCTGACATTTACTTTTTTTCCCCAATTAAAATTATACACATATACACACATTAGATAGATAATATAGATGTAAAATATTTATATATAAATATACCTATTTTCTAACTGAATCATGTACTTATTACAGTCAGTCCTTTCCCATGGTACTGTGGCAGACTGTGCTGTTGTTGGCAAGGAGGATCCTTTGAAAGGTCACGTCCCTTTAGCACTCTGCGTGTTGAGAAAAGGTGAGAGATCTTTGTCCTCCTTGACTGTCTGGGCCCTGAATGCTTAACTAAGGTGGTTTCAGTGTTCACCATATGAACTTTCTCCCTAGATATAAATGTAACAGAGGAACAAGTTTTGGAAGAAATTGTGAAACACGTTAGAGAGAGCATTGGACCTGTGGCTGCTTTTCGAAATGCAGTGTTTGTCAAACAGTTACCCAAAACCCGATCTGGCAAAATCCCCCGGTCAGCTTTATCTGCCCTCATCAACGGAAAGCCATATAAGGTAAATTATCAAAGATGATTAATGCTGAGTTTTGAAATATTTTTCCTTATTTCATTGACATCAGCCCGAAGATTCTTAATAATGGTTCTAAAAAATGAATTGTATGCCTGAAAACACAGACTGTTATTTATTTGTTATTGTTAAGGGGATGGGGATGGTATAACTATTTTGTTTGAAATTGATGAGCAGTGCAGGAAGGAATTAGAGATTTGAAAGAAATTGATTAATAAAGATCATATACTTTGATTACAGGAACAAGTATGTAAAAATACTCTTATTATTAGTAACTTAAAGTCAATATCACTTAAGTTCAAACATACTTGGGGAAACTCAATCTGATTGGGTTAAAGATGCATGTTCCTTCATTATAGACATTAATGACTATCAATGATTGGCAAAACAACTGAGAGTGGCAACAAATGTAGTAACAGTTCTAATTGATACATATGCTAATTATTTCTTCTCTTTGGCATGAAAATTATTTTAGGAAACTTAGATTGGTTATTGCATATGTATAATTTTAATTTATGTGCACATTTATACATGCATAAATGTGCATATTTTACCATCAAGTTCTGATGAAAAACAATGCTACAGGAAAGAGTAATTGTGTGAGAAAATGTCAAAGAAATATTCTTCCTATAGAGCTACATGTTGTTGTTGTTGTTGTTATGTGCCATCGAGTCGGCCCCGACTCATAGCGACCCCTCCTTGGGTTTCCAAGGCAGTATCACTACGGAAGTAGGATTGCCCAACCTTCCTTCCGAGGAGTGGCCGGTGGGTTTGAACCGCCAGCCTTCTGGTTAGCAGTCAAGTGCTTTAGCCACTATGCTACCAGAGCTCATAGAAATACCTTAAAAAGAACTCTAGAGAAAGCCTTATCTAGAAGAATAGTTGTGCTGATTATACCCTTCATATTATAACTCTGGAAGATTATAAACATATTTTAAAATACTAAGTTCCATGTTTCATATTTTTGGACACTTGTATTTGAGTAATATAACAGGAATATAATATTGCACATAATTGTTAGTAATAGAAGACATTGAAGGAAGCTTGTTCATCTGACTGTAATTTTCTTTCCAGATAACTCCTACAATTGAGGACCCCAGCATTTTCGGGCACATAGAAGACGTGCTAAAGCAGGCATCCTGACTTTTTTTTTTTTCCTATTTTGAGTAAAGATTTATCAGAAATAAATAGTTTAAATAGAAATTTCTTACAAACTGAAATGTTAATTTTAAAGCCTAGTTTAAAGAATGAGCTTGAGGACTAGTGATCTGTGCCTCCTGTTTGATTAGGCCCAATTAGCATCATTATCAGTTGCCTGTAACATGGGTCATTGTTATATTATCTGTTTCCTAGGGCTTCAGGAAAAAAAAAAAGATAGAGTATATGAATTTAAAACTTGTCCCTCCCCCCCCACACACACACACATAAATCTTAATTGAAAGTAGCATTAATGTAGAGCTACTTTCAGAAATTTGGGATCAGTGTTTTTGACTCAAAGCCTAAAAGTCAATTCTAATATTCCTGAGGTGCCTGCGTGTACCTCACAGGTATGTTAAGAAATATGGATTACATGAGCAGTTTTAAATTAGCATCTGGGTGGATGAAGTTATTTTATAGGTAGGAAGAGCTATCAAGTCATTCATTTCTTGATAGACGGCTGACCACTGGATTTATAGCTCTAACTTCAAGTCATCTGTCACTTAGTCAAGGGAAACCACATACCTAGCAAAGAGTTTAGACTAATTTTAATCCAATCCCTATTGACAAGAAGTCAAGGAGACAGAGGCCCCTGAGAGTTTCTCATTTTGTCTCAAGTTCTAAGTTGACTGAATACATCTTAAGGGTTCCAGCTCCTATAGAAGAGGAATGATATAAAACTGCTGTAGAGTGGAAGGGAAGTTCTTAAGGAAAAGATGTAGACTTTTACATTATGCTAAAGACCAGGCAGTCTTCAGTGACCAAGCAGATAATATATAATGTCAATGAGCAATGATCTTTTGAAGTGAGCTTGAGCCTCTGTGCCAAACAACAAAAGAATGGTGAGAACTGGGAGTGCTTGCCCCATATGAGGGAGTGGTCCCTTCTGGTGCCAGCAAAACAGGGCTGGATATGGGGGTGGGGAGGGAGGAAGACAGATCCTTTGTTGCAAGAACCTATGATTTTTAAGAGAAGGGAAAAATCAAGATTTTTCTGTGAAATCTCTAAATTTTAAATTATAATTCACTAAAAAATTGTTATATCCAAACTCATCTTTTGATTTACAACCTCTATAAAAACTATCCAGCATTTCCTTTTAACAACTGAAAATGGATCTTTATTAATAAACTATGGTAATGTCCCATTAAAAAGATGTTGTTGTTGTTACCTGCTATAGAGTTGGCCCTTGACTGATGGCAAACCCGTTTGTTACAGAGTAGAACTTATCCATGGGTTTTTCTTGGCTGTGAAGGAAGCAGAGCACCAGCCTGTTCTTCTGTGGAGCCACTGGGTGGATCGAACAGCCAGCCATTCCGTTAGAAGCCAATCACTAACAGCTTGTGTTACCCAGGCTCCTTAACAAAACAAAACAAAAACCCAGACCCACTGCTGTTGAGTCAATTCTGACACATGCAGACTCTACAGAACAGAGTAGAATTGTCCCTATAGGATTTCCAAAGGATGTAAATCTTTACAGAAGAAGACTGCCACATCTTTCTCCCATGGAATGGCTGGTCGGTTCAAACCACTGACCTTTCAGTTAGAAGCCAAGTGCTTTAACCGCTGCACTACCAGGAATAATTCCATTCTCCTTAGACACGGCAAATTATGTATTTTGGCTTTCTTAGGATTCTGCATGCCATTTGTTCTCGAAGAATATAATTAAACAAAAGCATATACTACTCTCAATCAAATCTTTGATGTTTCACAAAGCCCCTCTGAATCTTCAGTCCATGTTGTTGTTGTTGTTGTTATGTGCCGTCGAGTCAGCCCTGACTCATAGCGACCCCTCCTTGGGTTTCCGAGGCAGTATCACTACAGAAGTAGGATTGCCCAACCTTCCTTCCAAGGAGTGGCTGGTGGGTTTGAACCGCCAGCCTTCTGGTTAGCAGTCAAGTGCCTTAGCCACTATGCTACCAGAGCTTCAGTCCATAGGGAACATTATTATTAAGGGAACATGAAATACATTGAAGAGAGAACAGCTACTAGTTTATGTCCTTGTTTTTCCCTTAAAAATAGCTTGGAAAAAACAGACCCATTGCAATTGAGTTGATTCTGACTCAGTGAACCTACAGAGCAGAGTAGAACTGCCCTAGTGCGTTTCCAAGGCTGTAATCTTTACAGACGTATAATAACGATGATGATGAGGATGGCACCAGGCAGTGTTGCGTTTTGTTGTGCATAGATTCATTACGAGTCAGAGCAGACTCAGTGGCACCTAACAACAATTTTTACTGTAGACTGGCATATCTTTCTTCTGAGGAGTGGCTTATGGGTTCTAATGGCTGACTTTTCTGTTAGCAGCTGAGTGCTTAACCACTGAGCCACCAAGGGCCCCTTAAAAATAGCTTACAACTTGCATAAAAACTTTCTGAAACTATTAACATTTTTTTTTATTTTAGACTACAGAATAAATGAGTATATTTTATTTTTATTTTTTTTACTTGACTTCTTGATTTGTATATTTGAAAAAATATATTCATATAGATATTCCTCTTATTTTAGCAGCTTGACTTAAACTTGACTTAAACCAACTAGATAGAGATTCAACTATAATTTGAATCTGTTGTGTTCCTTGAACTGTGTCTTATATTGGGCACATTTATCCATTGTTACAAATACAGTCTTAACAAATTATCCATCTTTAAAGTCTTTGCGTTGAAAATGCATTTTTTTTTCCATGTATATATTTCAGATATAGTTAATCTGAAATGACAAATACTTCTGTTGAATGTTTCTCATTGTTCATTGGCAAGACACAAGCTCAGGCAGAAGCAAGAATTGTAGAATGGTTACATTTTCAGTCCTCTTGCACATTTTCCTGGTAATCATATCTGAAGGGATCTTAAACAAGCAAGCGTGAGTTATTTTCTAGAAGAGGGGCATTGGAAAACAGTACATGAGACTGGAGAAGTGGGTTCTCATATTTGGTTGAGGAAATTTTTCTTTCTTACAGGTGCAAAGAAAGTAGTCTTACTTTCATTTGAGAAAAAATGGAGCAAGTAAGATGTGCTCAAGTCATTGGATTACTTAAAACTTCAGAGGGAAATACAGGGAAGTTTCTGCTTAGTATTTATTATAAAGATAATTAAAATATTTATTTTCAAAATATAATCTTACAAAAATTCAATCATACTTAAATTTGTCAAAGGTAATTCTGCCTATCTTTTTGATATTTTCATAGATGTTTTTACTTTAAGAGAATGGAAAACTGAAAGTATAAAGTATTTAAAAATCTTAGAAAAGTATTTCTCAATTTGAGTTATTCTGCTCGTGAAAAAAAAATTAAATATATAGGAATGAGATCTGTATTACATATTTAAATGATAGATTAAAAAAGCAGTTTTGTTTATATAAAATTATATTTGAAGGGAACTTGATCATTAAAAATGTAAGACTTCATAATGTCGATAGGTGGTTGAAAGGAAGAACATTGGGATTTTGATGTGAATCCATTAAATTGATTTTAAAATCTAGCAGAAATTATAAATTAAAGACTACTTAATTTATTTTGAAGGAAGTAGCTAGATTTTTGTATTCTCTATATATTAGGATCTGTTATAGATGATTAATGTCTCTATTTGATTATCTCCTAAATGGAGAAACTGATTTTAATAACTGAGTTCAGGTATAAGATACAAATTTAGGTTATATTGCCAAAATGAAATAGTTTCAATCTTATGTTCCATTTCTATATATCAAGATCCTAATTTTCAAGTGAGCTTAGAAAGTTTTTTTTTCCCCATTGTTTCTGCTCTGTCAACTTCTTTAGAAAATTTAAAATCACTTCCAAAAACAAGTTTAGTACTCCCTCTCGTGGTGGATTCACTTCAGAAGATAAATATGACGTTACGACTCACTGAAGGAGCTGTTTTTCATTATAGTTTAAGTTATTAAACTTCAGGTAACTACAAAACAAAGCTTAAAACAGAGAATTGCAAGTATTTTTTTATTGACAATGGAGAAGGTTTCTGTTACCATTAACTTTTGACTGAATCTGTCAAACAAAAATAAACATGAAAACAAATGTAATGCACGTGCAAACATAGCAAAATAAATTAAAAAAAGAAATAACTAATGACAGGTTTTGCACTTAATATGATCAAGCAGCAGAAAATCAGCAGTCAGGTAAATGGTATTTTTAATAGGTTTTACTTTGAAATTCCCCATATAAACAAAGAATAAACAACAGGAACACCACCAAATAAAACCACAGGGAAGAGATCACTCTTCTATACTTTTATACACTATATATGTTAATCATTCTGTCTTTTATTTAGCTCCTCTGATAGAACTGACTTCAGGGAAGTCGCAACAAGGCCATCTTGGCTAAAAGCTTGCAACATTAGACATGAGTCTGGCTAATGCCCTGGGACATTAACAAAAGGGGAGGGCTTCTGAGGTTGTGTTTTCTCTTGTAGGAAAGGAGCCTCAGACTCTACAGTGGTTGACATTCACTGTCCAGTGCTGGGCGGCAGGCCAAAGGATTAGATATTAGAAGGAACATGTGGTTCTTAGGTAGAGAAGTTTTTTTTCCTTTCTTTTTTCTTTTCTTGGTCCATAG